TGCCTTTTGTGTGCATCTGGGTTTAATGCACTTTCACCAGGAAAAGTTAATGTAACAGTGTTAGAAGATGCTGGTGTGTGATAGTTTACTGTTAAACTGATGTTTGATTGTCTTAGAAAAATGAACATAAAGAATGAATATAATGGCTAATAAATAATAGCAAACATACATAAATAAATAGATTGGGAATGAAAAGGACAATGGAAATAAACTTTGTATATAACATATGCCACCCATAGGGTGTATTTTGTGAAGGAAAAATAATTCTGTCACAAAACAACTGGTTCTGTTGGAAGGAGGGAGGGAAATGTGGTCCCAATCCCAGTAGATTTAAGAAGTAGAAAGCTCAAGGAACAAGATTCTTATGTTGCATAGTGAATGCTTGCTACAGATTTATTTGTAAGCTCATTAATAGTGAGTTTTAGCACAAACAGAATGCCAGTGAGAAATTAGTTAAATAGTCTGCTAAAATTTCAAAATATTCTTGTATTGCCGATCAGTTTTTCACAAATAAAAAGAATTATACATTTGCTAAGCATCATGGCACAGATCTGTAATTCCAGCTGCTCAGAAGCCTGACAACTTCAAGGTCTGCTTGGAGAACTTAGGGAGGCTCTATATGAAGTTGAACCATAAAATGAGGCTTGGGGATTTATCTCAGTAGAGATAAATGCATGAGGTGCTAGGTTCAACCCTATTACAGCAAAATACTGTGTGTATTCAAGGTGTACAACATGATGTCCTGTATCTCTTCTGTTGGTATATCTTCATTTTCATAAACCAGCTTTACTAAGTTGCTAAGTGGGAACCTGTCCTTCCCTAGAACAAAATAGGGACTGATAAAGATTGCCGTATCATTACCCTCCTTTTGAGGAAAGTTGATACTGGTTCCTTCCTCACCATAAATCTCACTGTCAGTTTTGAGGAACATTTTCTTCAAAAGCCCTTCTATTGTGCAGTCCATTTCTGCCTCTTAAAAATACAATCTCCTGTGTCCTGACTCAGGAATACATTCCCTATGGATCCCACTGACTTACCACCCCTTTGAAATGTAATCATCAGGGAAATTATGTCCTGATCTTCAAGTTTGTGGGAAGATAGGGATTGGCTTCAAAACATGAGATTGAGAAACATAGGTGGCCTAATGACTTTCATCTGCCTCCCCTAGAATCCCTCAGGTATTTTTCTACTAGCTCATCTAGAACTTTGAAGACTATATATATATATATATATATATATATATATATATATATATATATATATATATATATATAGTGGGGTTTTGGTTTGGGTGTGCGTAGTTTTTGTTTGTTTTCTTTTTGAGACAGGCTCTCGGGTAGCTCAGGCTGGCCTCAAACTCACTATGTAGTTGAGAATAATCTTGAACTCCAAAGTCTTTGGTTTCTATCTCCTGGGTGCTGGATTACTGGCATTTGCTCCCATGCTTGATAGCAAATTAAAAGTAATTCTTATCAACTGAGTTGGTCCCCAATCCTCTCCTGTCTTGTTTGAACAGAATTGAGTTCAATTTCTCACATCCATTGAACAAGTTTCTGATGAAGATTCTCTTGCCTGTTAAATTGTCCACTACTATTTTCCTTTGGCAATACTCACTGTAATATGAGCACATGATTTGGGTATTTAGTAATTGTAGTGGTCAGTTATTTGGATTTTGTTATTGGTCTGCAGATTTGACATTATAGATAATTGCATTCCTAACAAGGTTGGGTTTATTTAGAGACCACAGACAAAAAGCCATTCTTGAGGGAGGAAACACCATCTCTGTTGTCAATATGGAAATAACCCATTTACTAAGCTTTATCAGAGAGAATTACGTACTTCCCCTAACTTCTTTTTCAATGAAAAGTTTGGATAGCAGTAGTTAGGCTCTTATATGTCAGATAAACAGTCTACCTCTAGCTCATTATTGAAAGCTTTCATTAAAGATTAAAAGCATAAGGCCCTTTATATAAATTCTAAACTGGTCCCTGGATCTTAGCATTCAATTATCATTTGTGAAATTTGAAATCAACATGGTTTATGTCTAAATTGAGAGTACATTTGAAAATCAAAATTCAAAGGCATGCCTTCTAGTGGGCTGACTGATGGGAGAGGGCTGTGATTATGCCTCATTTTCACCCTTTACATCACGATCTCATTGATTATGTTTCTCAGCTTGCTAAGGGTTCTGTGAGGTGATTTTCAAGATAAATACTGCTATTTGCAGGATTTCCTGAATAGGAGTATTTCGGGAGTAAATTGCACAAACCAAGTGATATGCAGTCAATTTTCACTCTAGCATAAACAATGTATTAGAATAGAGCCCTTAAGCTTTTCCATCCTTCCCCTTCTCCTTTCCTTCCTTTTTTTTTTTAATTTTGGTTTCATTCCACAGCTTGCTGTATTTCATCAAAAATAATGAATTGTTAGGCAGGAAAAATGAAGCTCATTATATTTTCTTTTTCTTTCTAACAGTTGCTCAGAGTTTTACCAGAGACAGTGAATGGCCTGAATGGCAGAGCCCAGGTCCTTTGCTTCTGAGGTATCCATGACCACCGTCGATAGAAAGGGAAAGTTTCTTTAAGTTGAGAAAATAGAGACAGGCTGTAGCTGTCTTTACATCAACTTTCTTTTCATTGACTTTTAACTGAGTTTTTTTTAAAGGCAGTTAAATTGCCTGTGTTAAAAAGTTGACATATTCTCCAAACCATTTAAAAGCTTTTTTTTTTTTGAGTAAAATGCAGCAAAGAATATCCCATTTTTTTTTATAATTTTTTAAATTGAAAGTAAACATTTTATTTCTTTGGGAAGAAGTGTATACAGCAAGCTGTAAAGACTGAAATCCATAATTTAAGCAAAAAGAGAAAATGTGTAACCTTAATAAATCATTTTCAGATAGCGAGTAGAAGTAGAAAGTAGACATAGATGGATAAAGAATTGGTTATTACTAACAGAGTTCACGATTTCTTGATTGCAAGCCAAGGGTTTTTGGATTTCTGGGAGAATCTCTCCAGTTAGCATATACATGGTCTTATGTCCTTTTTGGCCTGGATACAACCAAAGGAGAAGAAAGGGCCTTACGGGGGGGGTACTTCTGAAATCTATACTCCAAAGGTGAAAACTCAGAATGTGCAGGGAATATGCCAAAGAGTTCTCTGCTTGGAAAGATGCAGCTGTTTTTTTTTTCCCCTCAGTGATTTAAACTAAGCTGTAGGAAGCAAATTGAATGACACCCAAACACCACACAGCAGTGCGAGTAGTGACATGTGGCTTTGATAATGAAGTTCATTAACACAGAAAAGAGAAGCTTCTCTCCAGACTGTGAGACCTATTTGTCAGAAACCTGTGTGCTGTTGATAAAGGCTGATGTGACTTTTTGTTGTTTGAGAACTAACTGGGGATATGAAGGAGAGAGCACAGACCAGACTAAAGTCACTTTGGTAGAGTCAACAAGATCTATTTGTTATAGAATTTTGTTTGCCCTTTCTCTTACATATATTCTATGGACAAAGAGAGCTCTCATTGAGTATCCACTTGATTTTTTTTTCTGAAAAGACACATTTTGAAGAACAGACTTTTTCATGTGGTTACAAAAGTTAAAACAAAAACATCATTATTAGTTGAGAGGGAAGAATTTTGTGTCTCTTCTTCTTTGTGATATGAAATCAAAGACAAAGAAAATACTAGATCAAGCATAATTGGGAATCTGGGTCAAGTTATGGCCCATTTGGGCCAAGTATCTATACTTTCTTATTGGGGTGGTTTATTAAGTAATGAAGCAACCAGAATTGATCAGATGTAACACTGGTAATTGCATGAGTGTCAATTATGTCTGAAGTTGCTATGTACTAGCTAACTGAAAAAACGAAATCCTAAAATGGGTGGCTTCTCTGAATTGAAGATGTACTTTGTCTAGCCATCCCTCGTGAGCATGCATGACTAAAGGGTAGGGTGACTCAGGTATCAGAAGCCATGTCTTGGTGTCAGGATGTCCAATATATTATTACGTTATATATATAAATTTTTTACTGGGTAAAAGTTATTGTTACTCATGATTTTGATTGTCAGACTGAATTGAGGACCATGACCGTGATTGAACAGGCTGAGTTTTTTGCTGGGAAAATGATGTTTATCTTTGACTTACAAAGCACCATGTGTTCTCAGTGCACAACTATCAGAGTGGTCAATAAACACATCGGGAAGAAGCAAGGTAAAAGGAAAACAGTGTACTTTGCAAATATAACTCAATTTAGCTGGAACAAACCTCTCAATCTCTCTCCTATTTTATTTCTTCTTTTAAGCACATCTTTCTCAAATGTTTAGGATGACAATTTCACCTAACAATCAGCTTTAAGTGCAATTAAAGCAGAGATGGAAACTGGATCATACTAAGAAATTGGCTGAGAGCATTATAGTGATCAGTTTACTAAAGGCACGTCTAGTTAATTTTGAAAGAAGCAGAAGATACTAGTGAAATAATTTTCACAATAGCATCCATGGTAATGGTGACTGAAGTTTAGTAAGACTTCTGGGATTTCTCTAGCCCTATCTTTATTCTTTCTGATAAAATAAAACAAAACAAAACCTAATTGTGTTAAATTAGCTTATCAACAATCACCTCCAGGTCTGATCACCCTTTAACTTAATTAGATTCGTCATTCTCCTGCATCACCCAGATGCTGTCTGCTCACTCTCACCTGTCTTCAGGAAGATCCCTGTGCATTTAACCAGAATCTTCTTTTACCCCAGTTGCTTCCACTAATCCACTAACCCTGAGCTGAGAACTTCTACTTTTCCATTTGGAATTTAGACAAACTTCCAGTTTCAGCTTCTACTCTGTAAATCCCATTTCAGGGGTTGCTGTCTTTATTGTGATGAACTTAGTACTATTATCCTAGTCCTGCTTAAAGGAGTGATAAAATTCAAAGTAAACAATGAGAAACTCAATAGTCATTGAGTCTTTCTGCCAGAAATAAAAATGTCAAGCTAGAGGCACCCACCTTCAGGTCAAATAGTCCTGTTTGACTTGGTTGGCTATAAATTTCCAATTGATTCCTAATAGGAGAAAGCCACAGAAGCAAGTGATCCAGCTGCTCTTCAAGTTGCCCGAAATCTTTTATGTGAACCTCAAGTTCTCCTTGTTTTTCAGGCAAAGCTCTGGAGACCTGAAAGGGGAAAAAAGTAAAAGGTAAATGATTCTCATGGTATACATTAAAAATGGCAAAAGTGTTCAAAAGGAGATGTTATAGCAATTTGCTGATCCATTTATTTAACAAGATGCTAAAAATTACATACATGATATGTTAAGATATAATTAACATAGTAGAAATCATTTGGTAATACTCATTTAAAAATTTGACAGACACTAATGCCTTTTATGAATGCAAAATATACACCTAAGACAGGTGTGTTGTCTCACAGCTATACCACCAGCATATAGGTGACTGATGCAGGTGAATTGCCATGAAATAACCTGGGCCATAGTGCAAGTTCAAGGCTGGCCAGGGCTATAGAATGAGACCCTATATCAAATGAACAAAAACAAGCACACAAAGAAGCCGCACCCACACTTACGCAGATGTGTACTCCAACTGATTGAAGACAAGGAACCTATAACTTCCCATTTACTAAATGTGTATGCCAAGTACAGAGCCTTTGCAGCATTACAAAGACACAAACCAAGTTATCCAGCTTTAGTACTAGGTATATAACCAAGTCTTCCCCAAGTAATTGTAATTTATATGAACAGAACATAATGAAATTAAAACCAAGCTAAACTATATTTTTATTAGAATAACAATAATTTCTTCTAATATATTTGTTTTTAGTTTCAATTATGAAAAATTATGCAAAGAAATACTTCATTTATAAGGGGAATTGATAAGGCAATATTTTTGTGAGCTATAATTTGTGAAGCCTAGTGTAAATAGGTGAAGCAGATATTGATGAACAGATTGAAAAGTAAACATGACATTTGGATGACAGCAGACTAACAGAATGACTTCTGGTTATTTTTAGGAAAGGCTTAGTTTATACTAACCATCATGGATGGAAGTTCCAAATTTATTGCTTTCTTTAATCTTTCATGGCCCCTGCATATCACTGCTGTTATCATCTAAATAGATAACATTGGAATTGACAGATGCTAAATATCTTTGTAAGCAATATGCTATATGGTAAAATATTGTTGGATCTAATATTAGGTACTTAGATTTAAATCCTAGTTTATGTTTTTGCCTAAGATCCTAGCTCAGTTTTCTCTAACTTACAGTGCCTCTTTCATAGACTGGCGATAATGCAGACATAATGCTAATTTAAGAATTCAACAAAGTAATCCTTGAAAAATTGCTTAGAATAATTCTCTGCATGATGGTGAAACACAATAAAACTGTTAAATGTTAGCAACAGTTGCTCAAACTCCTGAGTAAACAGAAAACCAATATTAGTGAGAATGAAGCTATTTTCTTCAGAAAGTCAAAAACTAAAACTAATATAAGGGAGTAGTGTCAAGTTGTCATGGTAGCCTTGGCTATAATGAAAGAAATGAAAATGATAACTACTCTACTGCTGTCAAGGCTGTGGAAAAGACTAATTACTGAACACCACTGCTCAGATGACTGCAGCATTGGCATCCCTTTGAGGAAGACAGTTTGGCAATTTGTTTAAACTATATTCGAATTTTATCTTTGATCAATTTATTTGACTTTCAGAATTTCATTCTGAATGTATATCTCTGGAAGTAAAATCAATGCTTCATGACAAAACATGGTTGGTAGCTGAGTGTGTCAGATCATATTACAGTTTTTGAAAGATATATATGTATTGTTTTTATCAATAAATAACAAAAAGTAAATCCATTTTTCCTCTTAACACAAACTATTGGAGGGAAATTATGCTTTGTACAGTTTAATAATGGATTTTCATTAGGATATGGCTGTATTGATTTCTTCATCTGATAATATCAATCAGTCAATGCTGGTAGTGGTGGTGTGAACTGAGACCTTCTTACATATTTTTTTACTATTCTTTCTACTTCTTCAAATTAGGCTCTAAGAACTGTGCTACATAAACGCTGGGCAAAAATAGGAAGTGTGAATAGGTTATAAGGTAGACTCAGTAAATTTTGTGGAAATCTTTATCAGTTTTTAAATAATTAGTGTTTATTTCTAATATTTTGCATCTTCAATAAACTATAAATACAAGCACTGCACTAGAAACATTTATAATCTTTATGTATTCTAAAACTATGTTCTTCATACATGTTCTCTGTGGTAAATGGAAACAAACACATGCAATTCAATAAGTGATCATCTACCCTAATCTTGACCTAATTTTAGACAAGATTAATTTTCTTGTTCTTTAGTATTCTGAATAATAACTTCAAATATTTGTAAGTTTCAATATTAAGAAGTATCTGTTTTACAAATAAACATTTTATATACAAACCTCATACTTTATACAAAATATCTTGAGAAGCTAAATTATGTCTATAAAAAGAACTATACCAGAACTAGAATAAATGTTCTAGGAAAAGGAACATGGTTGCCATCTAGAAGTCAAAGCTTTTAAGCAAAATTAAGACAAAAGACAAGGGGAAACATCTGTACTATCTACTTATCAAAAGATCATAGTTTACTATACTAAAGGATTATTCAATGAAAGAAAAAGGAAACTGAATCTACTGTAAAATGAATACACTGGTAAAAAAAAAAACACAAACAACCAATAAACAAGACAAATTCCAAACACTACATAATCAATAAACTACAAGTTGAAACAACAATGCTAGTCTATCAATTGCCTGTCATACTGTCTTCTGGGAAAGAGATATATCATGGTTCCTTCCCGGAAAACGAGTAACCTTTTAATATTTTCTCAAATACACGCTTTTATTGTCTATAGAATAATGTGAAAAATAATTTTTTCCCTGAAAAGTATGAACACTCCTGAGAGCTTAAGGAAAACATAAACAAATTGAGGAATATGCTTTATTCATGCACTATAAGATATAATATTGTAATAAATTAGTTTTCTTCAAATAAACTATAAATTCAATGTAAACACAGGCAAAATTGTACGTGAAAATCTCTCACAGAAATTGAGAGGCTATTTTTAACATTGTATGGATATAAAAAGGACTAATATATCCAAGGAAATATTCATGATAAACGTATTTTAAAGAATATTTGAAATCACCTGTCATATTTGCTATAATTACATGTGTGGTACTTGTTTAAAAACAAGTAAACAATGATAACAATGTCACTTTATTTAAACCAAGGGAGCATGATATTTTAATAAATAGTACCAGGCTAATTTAATATTTTAACAATTTAATTTTTAGCATTTACATTACATTATAATATGTGCATATATAATATACTATACATGCATATATATTTATAGATGCTCTATAGACCGTGATGTAAAACAGAAAATAATCACATTTCTAAAAGAGAGTATATTTTCAAGATTAGTTACTGATGATTAAGATTTAAAAAGTCGTTAGTCAAAGGGTAAGATGGCATAAATTTCACTCATAAAAAATATTAATGAGGCCGAGAGGTGGTGGCACACACCTTTAATCCCAGCACTCAGGAGGCAGAGGCAGGCGGATCTCTGTGAGCTCGAGGCCAGCCTGGGCTACAGAATGTTACACACACACACACACACACACACACACACACACACACACACACACACACACACACCGGTGAGGAAACAATTAGGTTCAGGTGGGGATATTCAACAAAAGCCTTGAATTGGAATAATTTTTCATCTTTAAAGAAAAGACAAATGAATTTTTAATGCTCCAAAGGAACTTTATTATATATATATAAAGGCTATAGAAAGAATGAGGACATTCTTGAGTGTTTTCCACTGGACACAACCCATCTTTTTTTAGTTTCTCACTGGCCTGAAATTCACCAAGCAAGCTAAACTTCCTAGTCAGAATGGTCTCTAGGTCCATTGTGTCTACCTTCTCTGTGTAGCATTTTCTTATTAGAAAAAGCCTTCCATCTTCTGAGAAAAACATCTTATGACTTACGATGTAAAAGGTAGGAGAAACAACAAGATTTCTAGGACCGTAGTTTACAAAGACTTCATGAAACATGAGGATATGCTAAGAGAAGTTGAAACACACCATCCTGCCTGGAAACTCTTTAAAACAGGAAGTAAACAACTCAGAATAGCTTCCAGGAATCTCTGAAACTGATCAGATTCCCTAAGAGTATACAAATAGTAAAGACTGCTGAGAGATACTCTTAGACTAGCCCAGTTACAATACAAAGAAGACTCTCAGATCACCAGCCCAGCAGCCTGGGCGGCATATAGACAAGCTGAGCAGGTTGGCAGAACCAGAAAGCAGCCAAGCAGCTGGAAGAGGGAGAGAGCAATTGAGCCTTCTGGAAGAGCCTCAGACCAAGTGCCAGGATAGGACATTCTCCAACCTGTTGAGCTACCTACAAGTAGCAGTATGCTTCAGCTTCCCAGATTTTTGGGAGCTGTCACTCATGCTGGTGTGCTTTTAATGTAGCTGTCTTTGAGTCATTTCTGCTCCTCTAAGTAGCCTTTCACCCGTTTAACTGTAAGTAACTTCAATAAAACTCACTGGTTCACTAAATTGGACTTGGGTGCTATCTGTCATTGTTTTCTAACATTCTCTGTGTAATCAATTCACTGGAGATTTACATAATAACAATGTTTCTTCTGACCATAATCCTATACATTACCTATAGGTATACCAATTGTTTAGTTGTTTGATGTTCACATGACTATATGGAAACCTCTGACATCAAAACCTCTCCACTATTAGCAGCATATTCTGAAGGCATCTTAGGAAAACTGTCAATCAACCCCAGAAAAATCTTTCAAAGTTCAGTACTGTCAATTAAATAATCCATCCATTCTATTTTCTTGTTGTGGCAACATGCACATAATATGAAATATTTCAAGACTTCACTTGGCCTCACATCATTTACAAATATTAAATTAAAGCAGATGCTGAGCAGAGCTCAGTGAGTAAAGAGTTATTATTGCTGCAATGAAACACCATAACCAAAGAAGATAGGAAAGGATTTGTTTGGCTTACTCTTCCATATTACTGCTCATTATAGAAGGAAGTCAGGACAGGAGTTCATGCAGAAGACATGGAGGAGTACTG